GGAAGATCTGAGCCTTGCCACAGTGATTGTGTGTTTTAAGTGCGGGAGGGAATCACGTCCCTAGAACTCTTCTGGTCCCGATTTCCTTATTTCTCATTCACATATCTGCGTGGCTTGGCTGGATTCGAGGTGTATGGCATATGGCTTTTTGCCGCTTGAGCTGCCACAGAAGTAAATGTCATTGGCATATAATGCCAGATTTCCATTTTTTGAATCACAGAGCATGGCATTCTGTCCAAAAGCTCCCAGGCCTCAGTGTGTTCTTAAAGCAGAAGAAAAGGATAAGAACCATGTCCCGGAGATGCTCTTCCTATTAAAATGGGTCTATCGCGATAAGAAACGTGTATAATATGGAGATACTGTTGCCGTCAAGTGTGTTAGAAAAGGCTGCTTGGCTTGTTCTGCTGGGCACTGGGCAACCCTGGATATTTGCTCTAAGCCTCGACTAAGCAGATACCAATTAGTCCGGAATGTGGAGTTGCTTTTGAATGTTTTCAGACAGATAAAATTCACTTGTGCAATGATATGAATAAAAGATACCCATGGTTTTTCGACGCAGTTTAACAAAATTTTGTATTCACTAAATTTTCAAGTTATAGGACTCGTTAGGACAGACTTGGCTGATAAAGGAGCCCTGACGCTGCCACAAACACCGCCTCAGCCTTGGCTTCCCACCTCCACCCCTTCACTCCACTCACCTCCCCACACCTCACCCCCTCCCATGGCTAAGGAATCCAGAGGAGGGTGTGGAAATTCAGAAAGAAAGAATAAGTTCAGTCAGTAAGTTCAGTAAGTCGAGAGTGTTGACCCTGAACCCAAGGGGTGGGGTTCAGACCCTAGTGCCATTATTCCTTTGCGGGGTGATCTTAAGCAGATTAATTACCTTCCTCCATTTCTCAGTCTCTTCATCTGTGAAATAATGCAGTTGGAACTTAATGTAGTTATGAGGGTTAAATGAGCCAATATGAGGCTGCGCACATGAAATGGACAATATTTGACCATTTCTGAGTTGCAAAAATACATGTGGAAAGCATCTAGGCCATTTCCATGAGAATCACACAATGCTCTAGACGAGGTGTGGGAGGCATGAATTCCAATCCAGGTCTGCCTCTTGTTTAGTATGTGACCCTGGGCGGTTCTCCTACGTCTGCGCTCACCACCCCTCTCCTCTCTAGACAAAGCTGGCAGCTGAGCCAGCTTCCTCCTCTGTGCTTTGAACTCTTTCCCTTCTCATCTGCTCTGGGACGCTGCTCGACCAGTGTCCCTTCTAATCATTACATCATCAATCGCGTCCTCTGGGATGCTGTCTCCTCACCAGCATATAAAGGTACTGAGATCTCTGACGTTTTGAAATACAAATAAATGACTCCTTCTCGAGCCTCTGTCCACCCCCCACCTCAAGCCGTGTGTCCTCAGATAATTGCCTCTATTTACCATCTCTTCTTTCCACGTCCCATTAACTTATTAATCCACTGCAACCTGTCTTCTGCCCTCACTGAAAATATAACTAAGCCAAAGGAGAGAAATATGACTCTTAAAAAGTACTAAATTATATTGTCGGTACTTGAAAACCTCTGTAAGCCACAAAAGCCGCCAGGTTTGACAAAGTCGAAAATGGCCTCCGATGGACATTTTTAAATCTCTGTCTTCTTTGCCTTCTTTGCCGTACTTGACCCCGTTGGCCACTCTCTCCTTAATAACTATCTTACTGTGGCTTTGGAAATGAACACACACACGAGATAAATACGTGATACACTCTATATATGAAAGGAAGAAATAAAATAATTATCGTTGTTCCAGTTACCAGTGATATTTTTAGACAAAAACATTTTAAAAGGTAACTAAAAATATAACTCAGCTCAAGAAGAGAAATGTGACTCTAAAATGCACTAATACACATTTTGAATACTTAAAAACCTCTTTAGCCACAGAAGCCATGACTTTTAAGAGGCCAGTGGAAATGGAGAGGAATGGTTGAGTTGTTCTAATTTAAGACTGGGAAGAAGTCACATTGTTATGAATCTCTGCTCTCATGAAAAAGACAAAAAGACATCAAAAAATTATAAAAATAAATCTTTTATCCTTACTCCTGTATACGTATTGGCATCCTCCCTCCTCGCTCTTCAATTTTTTCTCTTCAGCCTAAAAATCTCTCCTATCCTTAAAAATGTTTTTTTTCACCCATGTTCTTCTTTCAAGTTCCTTGCAGTCTCTTTTTTTCCCTGCACTGCCACATTTTCCAGGGGAGAATGCCATCTCCACTTGCCCACCTCCTCCACTTGCTGCAGTCTGACATTCACCCAAGTCCACCTACTGAAATTGCTTTATTTAGGTCAGAGTCACCTCCTGAGTGTCAAGTCTGAATGCCTCTTCCGAATGCTCATCCCTGAAGCATTGGCTCATGTCCCCACCTATGCTTCCTGGGACCCCCTTTGTTCCTTGACTCCCAAAGCGCTGCCACCACCTCTCACTGACCCCCTGAGCTTAGGCATCTCCTCCAGGCCTTCTTCTTGTTTCTCTCCTATCACCCCTCTCATCCTCCATCGTCCTTCAACTCTAGGAGGGGCACCTTGTCACTTAGACTTGGAACCTTGGAGTGACTCCTGGCTTTCCTCGCTGCTTCTCCTAATAGGTGCCTTTGGATCCCCAGCATGAGAAGGGGTCCTCTGGCTTCCTGCCACCATCACCTCTTGTGGAGACGGTGTTTATCTTTTCATTGTTCTTCCTGAATCTGGACTTGGCCTACCTATAAGTTCTCGCTTCCCTAGCTCCCAGAAATACCTTTCTAGAACACGGTTCTTCTAATAACACATTCATTCTCAAAAACTTTGGGCTTCCTCTTCCTACAGCATGAGAACAGAAACCCCACATTCTATTGCAAACCACTTTTCTAAATGAAATGTCTGTTGCACTCTGCAACATGCCCCCTACTCACCTGTAATTAAACATACTGATGGCTCCCCAAGCATGCCTTGCATGTCTAAGTCTCTATCTTTACCCATGTTGCCCCAACAAGGAAGACCCTTCATTCTTTGTGTTGAGAATTTGCCCATCCTTCAAGGCCCAGCTCAAAGGTACTGTAGAACCCTTCCAAGGAGGCAGAATTGATTGTTTTCTCTTATATGCACTTTCTTTTTCCCTTGCTTGTGCCTCTTAACATGCTTGACCACACACTGAGTTTGAAATGTATTCTTCTTTTAGCCTGTTACCTTGCTTTAAACAGGTCCCTAGCCATCCCTTGTCCCACCTCAAGGCTGCCTTGAGGCAATGCTGCAGAATCCTGGAAGGACCCATTGAAAACCATGATCTTAGATTATAGTTAGTTACCTGCAGTCTCTCCTTGACTTTGCTCTTGAGAACAAGGGCGAATACTTTCTCACCTTTCTACCCCAAGATGCCCACCAAAGCATTGTATAAGTGCTCAACAAAAGTTACTTGGATTGAATTTTCATCCAGCCAATAATGAAAAAAAAAAGAAGCTGATGATGCTTCTTTTTTGAATAAGTTTATCATGTTTTAAGAGGAAATGGCACATTCCAGAACAAACTTTGCAAACTACAGAACAAATTCAAATTTATTTAAAGGTTATTGTGTGGCTAACATAAGACATGAGAAGGAGTGATACTTCAGAGTGACAATTTCTTTCAGGACCAGGAAAAAATTAAGGCACTTACAGGAGAAAAGGAACAGAAATTGTGTGGTGTGTGTACCTTAAAAACACCTTTAGATTTTACTTTGGTGGTACTGAGTGTCTGATAGAAGCCACTTGATTTTTCATGCTAGCATGTGCTCCTGCTTAGACCAGGGCCTGGGATCCTCCCAAACACATTCACAACCCAAATCAGGCTGAGCCTGGGAGATCTAGCCTCCGGTAGTTTGTGAGGTTGATTACTTTACACCCTCCCCTCCCTTCCCTTACAGGCAGAAGACCTAGAGCTCCTTCTGCAAAAAAGAAAGGAAAAATTGGCAACCACAGTGACATTTAAGGGCCCCTTGCTACCACTTTTCTGGCAGAAACCTTAACATTTCAGCAGAATTTTAAGAAATACATTGGGACAAATGTCCTCTTGGGAAATTCACCAACAATTGATGGCCCTATTTATAAAGCCATGCAATACAATACAGCTATTTAGAATCACAGATATTCCAGGGAGAAAAGGAAAGATCTGCATATAGATGTTCCTTTCATTGTTATTTACAATAGCAAGAAAATGGAAATTAACTCAACAGTTCAGCAATGAAGACATGATAGATTAATTTATGGGCACATTTATTGATATGTTAAAAATTTGGGTCATTTAAAAATGACATTTGTGAATAGTATTTAAATATAGGAAAGCATTTTAATATGTTAAATGGGAGAGGGGAGCAGGGTACAAAATTGTACCTTAAGGAAATAAAAATATGAACTAAGAAGGACTAAACATTAAATTTGAATAGTTTTAACAATGGGTTCTTCTGCATGGTGTGATTAATTGTATTTTTTTTTCTTTTTCTTAAGTTTATAACGTTAAGCATTTTCTCTACTGAGCATGTATTTTTTAATTGAAGTATAGTTGATTTATAATGTGGTGTTAGTTTCTGGTGTACAGCAAAGTGATTCAGTTCTATATATGTATCCACATTCTTTTTCATATTATTTTCCGTATGGTTTATTACAGGGTGTTGAATATAGTTCCCTATGCTATATAGTAGGACCTCCAGCTTTGACCCTTTTCCTCAGGATGGCTTTGGCAATTCTGGGTCTTCTATGGTTTCATATAGATTTATGGATTATTTGTTCTAATTCTGCAGAAAATAT